TGAACCGTGCTCTGGCTCACATCCGCTTTGATGGAGTCTAACCACCTTGCTCTTTGGTGAGCTGGTTTTCTCTTTCTGCTGAGCATTCCAAGTATTATATCTTTTTCTAGTGAGCTTGATTGCATAATGTGGCCAACATGCATGTTATCTTGCCGACCAGGAACACATCTGCTTTAATAAGCGCCAGCACCTGTTGGTTCATGACTCCCTGACTCCTGCTGTCCATGGAATGCACAGGAGCCTCCAACATCGCAGTAGACCAGGTCAATTGGCTTTCTAATTAAAGTCTGTATTTTGTTAAAGATGACCAGCTAGGCAGGTTTTGTGATAAAAAGAAGTCCATCACAAGCGAAGACAGAATACTAGCCATTAAGGAAACGCTGCTTAATGATGCAATTTTGATTTCGGACTGAATACCTCCCTTCCAAACCAAAAAAAGCTGACTCCACTTTTCATGGATCATGCAGCTTTTGGGCCAATCTCCCGGAATCTCAGTTGGTCCACCCTCTTAACCTGATATGGTATTATTGGACTAATACTGTCAGGTCCACCCCCACCTTCAGTTTGATCTACTGAAGTTGAAACTCTGATTTTCAGCAACTGTTTGGCTTATCTCTGGGGTCATTGGCCTTGGCACATCAGCTGCAAATTCTAACCCTGCCTCTTCCTCATCTTCTTCCACAGAGTCTTTGCCATTGTCCCAAATGTACCCTGGGAACTTAAAGACCTATAAAACAAAAAAACCTTGAGTAATAAATAATTAGAACCCGATTTTGCCCCATCAGTTTGGTGAGCGAACTGCATTTTTTGTACACCCCTCTAACACTTTGCAAGTGCCTGCTATAAATACTAGGAAGAACATTTTGGGATACTTGGGTGTATCTAGGCACAGCAAACATTGTCTGAAGAGTTCCTATTAGCAGGGGAAGTTTGCTTGAGAGTTCATTGTTAAAATCTTTTCAGAATTCATTTCCAAAACAAAGAAGTGTGCGCCTTTATATGCGTGTACTTGAAGTGTGTATTTGTTTATAAATGAGAAGAAACCAGGGCTCTATCTTTGTGTTGACATCAAACAATCCTCTGATATGCAAATCCCAGCTATGGGGAGGACAGATACATAGAATTTGTTTGGATTCAATCCAGGCCTGAGTGAAGAGAGCGTTTAAGGAACTGGCATTCAAACATTGCCTCATTTGAAAATGCTGTGAGAAAAAAATCTAAAAGTGTGTGTGTGTGTGTGTGTGTGTGCGCGTGCATATGATAGAATAACAAGGCATATTCTATTCTGTTTGTCTTGTTTGTTTCTTTTTATCTTCTGGACAGTGCAGATGTAGCATTGCTCTTCCTTTAACTGTGGGTTGAGACCATGAGCAGGTTGCAGGATTGCTCCCTTTCTCCTACCTTCTCTTGGGTGAAAATCCTCTCCTTACCCTTTACTTTTAATTACATGTAAACATTAATTTAATACAGATGGGCAACTGGCATCAACCAGACTTTGTATAGACTTTTTTCTTGCAATCGTACATGTTTTTGTTAAACTTTTAAAGCTTTGGTATCTATTGCAGGTTATCCAGAGATCTGCCTGGAGGCCCTAGTCTCCTATCCATGCCTGAATTAAAGCACAATTACTCATTACATTTGAACTGCTAAATTTGACTCTGGGAAGACCTTTTCATCTGCTGGCCAGAAACAGGGTGCTGTTGTCCTAGGAGCAGCCCCCCATAGGGGACGATGCCAAAAGAGTTGCCCTTCTGGGGGCACTCTGTTGGGGACACAAGGCCAGGCAACATCCCCCAACATCTCAGCCAACCTGGTTGTAGGGGGTTTGTTTCCCTTCCCAAGCCATGAACATGTTGGAAAGAGGACAGGGAGCCAGGTGGAGGGACATTGTAGTGGCCTGATCTATGTAGTGGGAGATTTGGAGGTAGGAAGGAAGGTTGATAGAACAAGCATTCAGCATTGGGAGAAAGGCTGATCAGGTGCAGAGAATGTGGTCTGTTAATGATTTGGCCATGTTTTGGTCTTCCTTGCACTTGTAGGATTAGTGGTTGTCTTATCAGCCTGGCCTCGATCTCTGGATGCTGCCTTTAAATGCCAGTTTGGTGTAGAATAAAACCACCCTCATCCCTGATTTAATAGTAAATGTGCTGGCCAATCTGGTATGCAGAACTGAGACCTAAACAGGCAAATGGGGAGGAGTTAGTCTCTCCCACTTGTGCCCACCAGATTGCTTCAGAGCAGCCTGGGGAGGTGGACTGGCCATGGTCCACAAGGTTTTTCTCTCCCCAGGCATCCTGTCTGTCTGCCTACTACTCTGGACCATTTGCTTCCCATGTCGTGCCAGCAGGACAGATTGGAGGTTCTGCTGGAAAATTCTCCCCCTGTACCATGACCCATCAGTCTCGCTAGCTGGGCAGACAGAGGTAGTGTCAAATGTGATGCTGTGGAGCCTCAAGCTGTGGGTCTGGAGGGACATCAACTTCTGATATACACTTAAAGCATCTTACTTGGGGCAGCTTGGGATTTAATGGACTGCAGGACAACAGTGGGGCTGTCCCAGCACATCATTGGCCCAACCCGTGTAGCGGGGCACACTCTGGTCTTGTCTTTTCAGCCAGTCATGGGGATTGTGTTCTGGAGGTGGGAGACTTGGATTCAGTCCCTTTGTTGCAGTCAGAGATTTAGGGTTGATGAAGAAAAACTTCTAATGGGTTTAATAAAACCATTGAGCACACTTTTAAAGGCTGTCCAGGGCCTATTATATGCTGGTTCCCAAGACATCCTAGACCTGGCCTGGATGCTTTTAGTGAGTGCATTCTCCAACCAGGTGGAGGGCAGCACTTAACCTTTTTTTGGTGGGGCTGTGTTCATCTTGAAGGAGCTGGTTTATAGCCTGGGGTTCCTCTTTGAGCCATCTTTGTCACTTAAAGATCAGGTGGCCTCAGCAGCATGTAGGGCCATCTACCAGCTATGACTGGTGCCTGAGCTATGTCCTTATCAGGGCAGGAATAGCTGGCTTTATTAATCTACCCTCTGGCAATCCTTAAATTAGGTTACTGTAATGCACTCTGTGCGGGGCCACCCTTGAAAGTGGCTGGTGAGAACTTGGACCACCTTTGCTTCTGAAGGCAACACTGTTTAACAGGGAAGTTCAGGTGATGAAGGGTGTAACTTTCTCAGCCCTGTGGTTGGATGTCAAGTCAAATGGGTGGACTGGTGAAGTCATATCTGCCATTCCTCCTGTGTTGAACACAAGCCACATGAACCTTCCTGATGGTGGAACTTAGTTTGGTGGGGAAGGAACAAGATGAATTCAGCATGGAATCAGCTTCTGGAATGGGCAGAACTAACTACACAATTAGAGGGCTTATTAACTTGATGGATGCTTCTTGTTAACATCCTTTCTACTATTCATTCTGTTTCACAAAGCCAGCCCTGGCAGGGCAGCTTTAACATATAAAACTCTGTAATTAGAAGCTTCTTGCCTGCCAGGAAGGGAAAAGGAGGAAGGTTGGGAGAGGAAGACCAGTTCTTGAAATCGACCTTTGACTTATTGGTAGGTTTTGGTGCGTAGCATTAAAAAACAGCACTTTCCCCTGAATTCTAGAATGTTGCATTCCTTCAGTATTCCAGTAATAATTGCATTTCAGAGGAAATACCATTTCCTTCTTCTGAATGTTTCAGTTTGCTTTGCTCAGAGTTCCATGGAAATCAATGTTGCAAAGAAGCCCAGATAAATGTGTCCAGAGTTGGAGTGTCCTGCTGTAACCTCACCAGAGCTGGCTGTTTAGGCAGCAGGCATTTTTCTTGAACAAAAACATCAGCATGTTGACAGGCAGGTTTCTGCTCCTTGAGAGGCTCTCGGTTGCCACAGTAGTTTATGAGACACTTGTTCCAAATATTGGTCAACACACTTAACACAGAGCTGATACTGTCCTTTTTAAAGCTATTTTCTTTATCCCACTTAACCTTATCCTGTCAAGAAGAGGATGGAATCATATAAAAATGATAGATGACTGGCAGTCTATTGGGCAGCAATCTTCTCAGATTGAATATCCATGATAGCAACCTTACACCTGCCAAACTTGTGAGTTCTTAGACCTGGCAGTGCTAATAGCTCTTAGCTTACTAGAAGATCAAATGTGTAGTTGTTTTGCTATGTTACTTTGTGAAAGAGAGCTTGATTGAGTGTATGCATGCAGACACACATCAGGACTCTGCTGAAGGAATTGCAGTTTGGTTGTATTAAATGTTTATTGAGAGTTAGTGTTGGGTATTTTATATAGAGATTTCACTTGAATTAGCTCTCCGGTGATCTTAACTCTAAGCTGTTCTGAAGATAAAATATTGGAAGAAGCCTTATTGGTACAATGGAAGAAGGGCAAAAATTATATCTTGGATGGCATTTTGTGTGTAAATCTAACAGTACTAGAATTGTAGCATTGGCATGTTTTCTGATGAGCTAATTTGGATATTATAGCGAATAATGGGTTATGAAGCCAGGAGTTAGCCCCAGTTTTGGATTCAGACGTAATGGAAACAGCCATACTGGAAGGAGAGAAACGAAGGGGGAATGTGTGAACGTGAAGCTCTCTGAAGCTCATATCCATCATAATAAACCACAATATCATGATTTATCATGATGTCCAGGCAGCCCAGTGTAAAACGACATTCCATTAGGGATGGGGAGGAGTCACTATCACTAAGAGCTTTAACGGCAAATCCTGAAACTGCAGATTTAATGTAATGTATATGTAAGTCCCCAGGCAGACCTCAACATAGCAGTCTTTCCTTTAGATACAAGGTCATGTTTCTTCAGATTTCTCTTACCCCACTTTTTATGGGAAAAACTATCGTGAGAGCTTATTTCTTCAAATGTCACTCTGTATCTTCAATAGAGTTAATTATTTGTTATCTGAAATGCAGGCAAGCTTTATAACTGTGCTACTTTACACTATTTACAAATCCTGATCGACACAATATTTTTTATTATTTTAAAGCATTTTAAGAAGCAGAAGAGGCTAATTCCAGAAAGGACTGTCTGGAAGTACTTTGTTCAGCTATGCAGTGCCTTGGAGCACATGCATTCACGGCGTGTCATGCACCGAGGTAACTGAGTTGCATTTAACCAAGTTAATGTTTAACCAAGTTAATGTTTAACCAAGTTGATGTAATGACAGAAAAGGAAATGGACAGGGGTAGGTAATATGCATATTATTGTAAGGGCTTTTAAAAAAATCTCTTTATTTTTCTAGGTAGGTAACTATTTTATGATTTTAAGTTTTGTTATACATTGCCTTGAAGTTTACCCTGAAAGATTGTTTATCAATCTTTTAAATAAATAAACATGCTCCTAATGGATTTTGAGTATAGTAGCAATGTTACTTTCCTCCTTTAGAGATATTCCTCATTTTTTGTATTGTTCTCTGGAAAGATATGTATGTTAGAACATATAAATTAAAATGAACAATCCGCATTCATAGACATACTGTTTATAGGTTGTATAGCCTTCTTTGTTTTGAAGATTTATATCTTACCTTTAGATTTTATTCTTTTCAATGTGGCTTAGATGAAGCAGGTAATAACCAAAAACCTATCACTAATATCTCTCTCACACACATACACACACTAGCAGCCTTCTGCCCTCCAAAAATGTATGGAAATTCTCCTTGGTTCTTCCAGTCCTAAGCCAACTGGTAGATGGAGCTGACTTCCGTCCATGTACCCCTTCTCTAGATGAGGCCAGTCTTACCTTCTTGGAAACCAGGGTTCTTCCTTCCTGCCCTCCAGTCTTAGGGTTGCAGTGCCTAGGTTTGTAATGCTTCCTTGGCTTCCTCAAAAGTGTTGCAAACTTAAGGGAAGATTAAAAGATGCTTGACTGATAAAATTTGAAGTATAATATAGTGTGACCTTTCAGTCATCTCTGAGGGGAGGGTAAAGTTCTTTGTTCTGTAAAAGTGATGGGGGAAAATGCCTCCACTAAATCAGTCTGTAGTGATGGCCCATATTCCCTACCGTTCTTCCAAGGAGTAGGGTGTACTCTTGTTTTTGAGAAAGGGTGCCTTGAAGCTGTGTGTGTTAAAACTGTCTTTCTGCAACTCCAGGAGTGCTCAAGGCAGCTCATAAGCATAATTTTACAACAAAGTAATCTCAAACAAGAGCAGGAGGTAGTAAATTCAGAAGACAAAGGGAACTAGGCAAATAAAAGGACTTCAAGATACTATTTGGGCCAGAAGCCGATGTGAGCAGCTGTGGTTTGCATTCAGACTAAGCGTAATTTAATTTCCACTTAAATCATTGAGATGTGCTAGTTGTGTCTTTAGTTCATTTGTCTGGGCACAACTTAAGAAATGCTCTCACGGGTTCTTACTAATTGCAACTCATGTAGTGGTGGATGCACAAAAGGCCCTCTTCAGCTTATCTTAGCAGACAGGTAGAACTATGTCAGAAAATGCATGCCTTCACGTATTATCCTCTATACTGTGCAGAGCTACTATATTAACCTACTGAGTAAACCACACGCTCTTGAGAGGTAAGAAGAGATTTGAGAGGGTAGATGACAAAGATGACAGAAATGTCCGCAACGAAATTCTGGAAAACTACTCAATCCATCAGTGGAAGAATGGACTATCTTAATAGTCCTGCAATAACAATTTTTATCTGGACATAAAATAATATCCTAACAAGAAAATGGCCACTTCTGGAATATTATTCCCTTAACATTGGCAGAACAATTGCATGGTCCTTAAATAGCTTCTAGGGGCATAAGATTGTTCAGAATCCTAGCTCTCAGCTCAGAAAACCTTTGGAGCTGGGGATTCATGCTCAGTTCTCTTTCCACCCCCATAGCCACTGCAAAAAGAACTGTGCAGAAAGAACTCCACCTTCTTTGCAAAACTGGATGTTTAGCTCTTTTGCAGGGTAGAAGGAGTGTGAAGCCTACTTTCACCGTTGGGCTCCTGATGCCCTTTGTAGGGTGCTCAGAATACTCCACATTCAGAGGGTAACATGTATCCTCATAGGATCACACGCTAAAACTTGTGGATTCATAAATGAGTGTATTGTTCGTCAATAAATTTTTATGGATGTGGAGTTTGAATATGCACTGTGTTTGAAGAATGCCTGTCCAAGGTAATAATTGATTGTTTTTACTACCTTTAAAACAATAACTGACAAATATATTCTGTATGAATTAAATAAAATGTGATGATTGCTCACTGATTATAGATAATCTTACAGTAATGGACTTTCTGTTTGAACTAAAAACATTTTATTTTTTTTCTTTTACAGACATCAAGCCAGCAAATGTATTCATTACAGCTACTGGAGTAGTAAAACTTGGAGACCTTGGATTGGGAAGATTTTTCAGCTCCAAAACCACTGCTGCACATTCTTTAGGTCAGAGAGAGACCCTTGGTTTTGCAATTATATGTGGAAATCAATTTTGTAAATGCAAAGTAGAAAAAAACAATCTTCTGTGTTTTGTTTAGTAATCTGTCATGGAGCAGATTAAAGAATACATTTCACTGGAAGAATGAGTATTTGCATTTGGACTGTGAAATGCCTGTACAGAATTAAGCTGTTCCTGTTGTGACTAAATTGTTAGAAGTGGATTTTTAAAAGGTTAAACATTGCTTCGGGAAGCAATCTTGTTCTTCCGTGTGGTTTTTGGGTATTGCTGTGTTCACTCTTGGTTTTGGGCTATGGACGGAAGTGGCACATTGTAAAATCAATTTCTATCCACTAAAAAACCAGGTCTAGTCCATAAAAGATCCCAATCATTCCCTTTAATACAGCTGGGCTATGCCAACAAACAATGGCCTCTCTGCATGCCAGGGCCTGGGCTTCCCACTGTTGTATTACCAAAAAACAACCTTTGGACCCATCACTTCAGTTTGAGTTATGTCCTGAAGCCATTGATGGGGTGTGAGGTAGCAAGAGGGAGCAGCCTGGAAGGCTCCCCTGGGTGCTGGCACCCTGCAGGCAAGGCATACCTGGATGAGTTGAGGACATGGGTAATAAAGTCCTCATGGCTTCCAGTTCTCTTCAAGCAGTCTGTACTTTCACCCACATATGGATGAAGTGAAAGAGTGCCTTAACTTCCCACAATGCTGTGTGGCTCGTATAAGCCAGCCCTGAGAGGAAGGAGGAAGCCTTTGTAATCTACACAACTTTTTTCTTTATTGCACAGTAGCGTTCCTTGTTTTGGAAATCCAAGTAAGAATCCTAGGCTGCTTCTGTCATGCAGATTACTCTTTTTTTGGTCTCATACAATTGCCTCTCTCTGCTTATAATGCATTTGTGCCCCATGCATTCCCTTCTCCTGTGTAATTTTGTCAAAAGCTTTTCTTCCTAAGAGTAGTAGAGTTGTCAGTGTTAAAACTTGCTGTGGATTCTTGATCGTAGCTGGATCAGTGTTAAATTAGCTTCAGATTGACACTGGGGCTTTAGGCATGGTCACAGTCTTGCATTAAAAGCTAAGGACTGCCATTCAAAAATCATACCCTGGCCCATCTTGAGTAGCATTCAACCTTGAGTCCATTGTTACAAAAGTGGACTTCCCCTTGGCCTTTGTCTTTCCAGAGCTCTCTGTGTACCTTTCCAATCTCTTCCAGGTGGTCTCCTATTCTGTTGTGTTGATTTGGGGTGTGTGGTGGATCACAGTGGGAAAGGGAAGTTGTTTTGGCATGAGTTTCCATTGTTTGGGTAGTTGGTCTGAACCCTCAACCTCCTGCAGAGGGGTGGACAGACTGTGGGTTTACAGAATCTATTTTGTTTTAAGATTCACCAACCAGAGCCTGATATAAAAGAAATACACTGAATATTAAAGAATTCTGAGCCCATGGGTTTGTCTTGTGTACCAAATCTGGACAGACCTCACAGCGCATCCACAGAGGAAAAAAACACTGAACCCCAAGCTTTTTTCACTTCATCGGTAGAATTTAAGATGGGATGGAAAAGCCTTCCTTCCTTCCGTCCGTCCATCCGTCCTTCTTGTGCTGCTTTTGTTAAACAGTTGGCAGACAGATATCCTTACTAAGCTACCAGAAATCATTCAAATTTCTGCCAGTAGTTCCAGGTCCACCTTCTCTGCACACCTGTTTGCCATTGCCAACTCGATTGTCTTAGAATGAGCGATTTAAAATACCGAAAGCTCTACCCGGCTCTTTATCTACATCTTGTAATTGGAGGTACATTCTAAGCACAAAGGTTTTCTTTATAGCCTTTATTGTGACTAATAACCATTGATAGAACTTTTCCCAGTGAATTTTATCTAATAAAGGCAAGTTATGCCATCACAAGATCTGTTCCTCGAGCAAGGAAGTCTGATTAATTATGCATTGCATGAAGAAGTTTTTGCTTTTATCCATCTATTACCTGTTGCTAGCACTTTTGCCAGATGACCCCCATGTCCTTGCATTTAGAGAAGAGTGAAAGGAAAAGCTTTTGAAATGACTTGCATTTTATTTCTTGTTAAACTGATCTTAGTTGGATGTAGCAGTTAATTCTTTCATTTGTTTGCGTGAAGTCTGAAATTCAGTATTGAAAGCTTCCGTTTGTATTATGGGTAGGTGTTAGGTTAGGTTAACTCTACAAAATGCAGGCCTTTACTCTTCTTTTACTGTTTCATCAATCTTTCACACTCATCTCAATTCCCTAATGTAACAGCAGGTTTCTGAGAACTACTGGTTAAAGGTACTTTTGCTTTTGGTAAACTATGAACCTTCAAGACTTAATGTTTTCAGCTGCCCCCTGTAGATTCTGCAAAGTGTTTCTCCACCAATTCCCTGTTCTATATGTTAGACCTGCAAAAGCTGCAGGTTTGTAACTTGTTAAAATCTTGATTAGTATCACATTAATTTTGTTTTTGTGAAGCTGATTCTGGCAGCGGAAGTTCTATCAGATCAGAGCAACGCAAGAGTGGTTTTATCAGCAGCTATGCATTGGGTGGCCTTTTCCAGCTCAAATCTATATCAGAAAGTTAATTTTTCAGAATGCTCTAGCTTACCATGCTAATTTGCAGTGTCATTCATATTTTTGGCTTCTTTTTAACAGCATTTTTGACACAGCATTGAAACTTCTTGGAATATGAAACCATGTAAAATGGCCCAGGGGCCTGTCTGCACATTACAGCCTTCTAAAATGCTGTATGTGGCAGCTCTTGCCACTTAGTGAAATCTCTCGGCTTACCGAAAGGATTGAGTGATTTTTCACATACCAGAGCAAACCTTTCCCATTGGAAATTTTTAAAGAAATCGAACAAGTGATCTGGAATACTCCAAGGAGGTTGCTGATGGATAGGCACAGCTCACAGCGTGGTCCTGGCCACCTTGTGGAGCAATTTAAAAGAAGGTCCACATGCATGTCCAAAAATGCAAACTGGACCTACTTGCCAGTATAAGTGAAGGTACAATCCTGTACCCATGTACCTTAGAATAAGCACCACGGATGTTTACTTTTGGGTAGAAATGGAGCATTGTTAAGTTTCAAACGTATACTCACTTACTGGAAATAAACACCGATCAGCTATGAGATTTACTTGGGAATAGATGTTTGTAAAATTGCACAGTTGTGTAATTTAAACAATATCTAAAGCTTTACTAAAATAACACACCTTGGTCTGCAACCATGTGTACTCATGTATATACCAGTTAGAAGCTGGTTATCTAGAATGTTGGTCCTATAGAGTGTATGCTTGTAGCTGTGAAGTATTTAAGTTCTCATCTTTGGAGCTTTGTGTAAGTCATCTTTCCTACTCAGGTAGTGAGTTTGTAAAAAAAAATGCACGCATGCACACCTTCTATTGCTAGTGAATAATGATGGAAGTGTTTCTTTGCTGTGGGTTCATGCCTAAGGAATCTGAGATATGTCTTCCTGCTGGAGAGTCAATATACACCTTTTAGGGAAACTGTGCCACATGAAGGAACCCTTAGAAACACTGATATTTGCCTTATTCAGCTTTTCTTCTTTATGCCCTTATTCACATGACATGAGAATCCACCATGGGCAACCAGCTATGATAGGCTGTCATGTTGTCCAGATCAAAACACTTCCTGCAAGATGGCTTTTCTTTTTCCTGCTACCAAGCCACATTGAAAACCCACGAGCTGTTCTAGGGAATGTATTACCCATGAGCGGATGTTGTGTCATCCAAACCCAGACAACTGGTCCTACCGTGGGTAAAAGGAAGTAGTGAAGGAGGTGATAAGCAAAAGTGACCATAAAAACCCTTTAAATGTATTTATTTTTGCATGAATTTCCCTGTCCGTGTTACTCTTTCTTGCCTTGCCCAAATCTGTTAAACTTCACTCCCACCTGACAGCTGTCAAAGCAAATGGCCATGAAAATGGGGCTGTACTTATTTATTTTCCTAAGCACTTAGAATTTTGGGAATGAACGGAATATTTGATGGTACTGGAACCTATTGGGGGAATACCCAAAACATGGTGCGGGGTCTTACCATGAAGGGGAATAAAGGTGCATCCAACTTACATGGGCAAAGAACAGTCACTGCTTTGGTTTCCCTTGACAGCTTGCCTTTTGACAGCTGCCAGGGAAAACCACAGTGGGGGAAAAAATCTTTTCAGTGTATCTCTGAGTCAGTGTCAAGGGTTGATAGCCACTATACTTTGAGTCACGTGAGGTGTCCCACTTTTGGACTTTCCACAGTGCAAATTTTTGCAAGAACAACTAAAAAATTAATGAAAATATTGCAGACATAGCGGGGGCAGTGGCATGCAGAATAAATAAAGCAGTGGCCAACTTGTGAAAGCACCTCCGATCTGCTGCTTGAGTACATCGAAGGGCCTGCTACTGGCTGTCAGTTCAGAGATCACCATCCGTGAACTCTGAAATCATAATGATTAAAGGGAAAAAAGGCACAGTGAGCCAAGAATACTGGCTCCTGGTTCTGGTGGGGAGAGAAGACAAGGTGACTTGAACTGCTAAGGCCTCTGGGTTCCAGCTGGAGGACCAAGGGGGAAGAACAAACTGTGGTGAATCTGATCATCCAGCAGACACACTGTGAATTGTTCACACCAAACTCAGCCCACCATGACTTCTCGTCAGGGTGAATTAGCATGCCTTGCAAATCCACTCAGTGTATATACAATTAGTTCATTTCTTCTGTATGCTTCCACCCCTTTTTAAACCACTGATCCTACCGCTTTGGTTACTTTTGGCTATTGGGCTGTATAGACAGGAAATAAATACTTCCAGGACACAATCCTATTCATGTTTGGATGGGAAAAGGTCCCACAATTCTCAGCTGGGAATTACAGGATCACTTGCTAGCTAAACATGCTTAAGACTGTGCCATTAATTAATTTACATACTGAGGAATATTCCATAGCAGAATGATGTACAGGAAAACTATATTTCTCTTGTTCAGGAGAAGGGAAAGGACTCTCAATATTTTTGTCAAGCTGTTTTAATAAATGAAGATATCAGACTTTTGAAAAATTCTACAAATTAAAATTTTAAAACTAATCATTAGTGATTACTGCAGATTGTAAATGTTCTGTAGATATTTATGCTTTATTCTCTTTTTTAGTTCTTAAAGGAGGGATGTAGCAACAGAAAAATTAAAATTACTGAAGAAGACCAAAATTTTAATGCGATACCCCATTAAACATCCATAGTATAATTTTTATGTAATAAATGTCATGCATATTGGTAAAATACTAAAATAATCTGTTGCTACTTTTGTAAAAAACAAACAAACCAAAAACCAAAAAAACCCCCATCTTTTCCCATCCTAGAGTCTCTGGATGTGTTGGGCTGCAAAGGCTGACTGGGGATAATGGTAATTGTAATCCAGTATGTCTGGGGGGCACCAGGTTGGGTAAGGATGCTTTAAAATATTGCATAAGTTCTGCACTTTATTTGCAAGATTGCTTTAATTAATATAATTGTTGTTACTGGATCATTGAGACAAAACTTACTGATAAAACTTGCTGCTGGAAAGTTTGTTGTTTTTTTTTTACAAAATATTCCATGAAAGTTAAGTTTATAAAACAAAGCTAATAAACATAAGCTTGTAGTTATACAACTATATGTTCATTCCTGTGTGTGATCACCTTTATGTTCTGCAGTATTTATTGTAATTAACACTGAGTAATAATTTTCTACCCCGATACCAGAATATATCTGGCTAGAAAGCATTGCGGCGATGTTTTAAGCATCTGATGGTTTGTTATGTTTCTGTATTTGTTCTAGTGGGAACACCTTATTACATGTCTCCAGAGAGGATCCATGAAAATGGATACAACTTCAAATCAGACATCTGGTCTTTAGGATGTCTGTTGTATGAGGTAAAACTGACAAGTTTAATAAACCTAATTTGTTGATGTATGTTTTTCAGAGTATTTCTGTAGCTGTCTCAGGATCTTGCTTTGTTGTTGTCATCATTGTGGTTCTGCTATTTACTTAGTTGTGTATTAGATTTAAGCAACAATATAGGAATTTGACCTTTTATAGCTAGGCAGAATAAAATTTACACACATCTTTCAGTCCTCAATGTCAGTAGGGTACAATTTAGCACCATTAAAATTTGTGAGAGAATTTTCCCACATACTTCAGCTTAAAATGGATCATGACCATGCTTATATCATGCCTCGGCTTATACCTATCCTTAGGGTTGTTTCTTTACTAGGACTTACTACCAAGGATGGCCAAGGCAATAGCCCTAATAGAATCATTTCCCCAGTATCAAGTGAACATGTCAAGTTTTTAGCAGGACTAACAATGGTGATGCCCTCTGATCTTTTATTGGTTTTTGTGGAACACTCTTTGTGGAACACTGACCCTTTAAAATAATGCATCCCCAAATTTCACTAAGCATTCCTGGTCAAAATTGGTAGGTCTGAAATGGAATAAGTGGCCCTGTGAATAGAGAGTCGTCGACATGTTTTCGAGCTTTTAAGATTTCTCCAACCAGGCTGCACTACTTCTATGCAAATGCTCTCTGGAGAGACCCTCCCAGATCAGCAGCCAGGTGAAGTAACGAACCACCTGTCTCTGTGATTCAGCACAACCACTAAAGCTGCCCATCGGTGTAACCACCTCCTCGTGCAGAATTGGGATTTTGTGAATAACAAAATGTTCCCACCTCCCTTTTTGAATCGAGTTAGTGCCACAATGAGGTCTCTCCTCTCTGCCCATTCTCATGAGACAGGGCTGAAGAAAAGCTTGGTTCAATCTATCCTTGGAAATGGTATTAAACCATTGGTTTAATACTGATTTTCTAGGACTCATAGGGAACTGGGCTGGAATCAAGCAGATGCTCAAGGAAATGACTTTGGCTGTGCCTTTATTTATTTGATGCTGTGAAGAGCATAAATCTAATGTACGTTAAAAAAATAAGAGTATATAAGTATATAAAACATGATGATAGCACAGGACTTCCAAAATATTTGTGTTTCTACTTTCTGAAATGGGAATTGGTAGATTATGGCATGTAAACTAAGTACTACAATATCCACATCGAGTCCATGCAGAATATCAAGATAATTATTAAACTATATCTTGTAACCAAATGCAAGACTCAGGGAAGAATTCCTTTATAGATTTATCAGGCTCTTTTAAGGAATCTGAACCTTAGTTTTCTGTGATGTAAAATGTGCCATTTTTAGAACTCACAATTATGCTGTGCACTGACAGTGCTCTATAATATTTCGTTGTTATTTCAACATGACACTATGGGCTGTTGCATTTAATTTGGAATTTGTCTAGTGGCATCATATTATTAAGGACTTCACATTTCTTCTTCTTTTATGAGAAGAGTAATTGGTGGATATTAATGTTAAGATTCCGTTGAAACACTCCTCAGATTTGCTGATTGAGCAAGCAGATCCAGGATGGGGCATATCAAACAACTGTGGTACAGCACAATAATTCCAAACATCGTGTTGGTATACAAACTGGTGCAAATGCTAACGCTCATAGTTATAAGGAACTGTCTCCCTCTTGCTCCTTCAAAAATTAATGAGCAGGCCTGTTTTATTGGACCGCTCATAGAATTTGCTTATTTGCAATCTATTATTTGCTGTTATTCCTATGCAATAGAATAATCTAGTATTCCCAGTTATTTGTAAAAAGAAAAAAAAGAAAAAATAAATAGTTGTAGACTGGCTTGCAAAATAGTTAATCTGCAGCAGTTGGATTTTAGTTTCATTAATTGGGACTGAAAAATTATTTCAGCTTAATTATGCTATAGAGAGGATTTTCAGTTTCGCTCTTGACTTGGTGAATATGTTTAACATAAGATGCAGTTGAAATATTTTAATTGTTTTCAGATTAGTTCAATTTATTCACATTCTTGTCAAATTAACAGAAGGAAGACTTGGAGTAGTTTCATGAGATTTGCCAGAAGTGGAATTTCCAGTGTATCTTCCTTCAGTTAGTGTTTAGTTTAATTGCTAATTTCTAGCAGTTTGATTGGTTTTCAATTAAACTTAAGATTCTGTTTATTTTCTGTTCCTTGCATGGTTTATCATTTACCCTTTAATAACAATTACTGCCCTTCCTTCCTCCTAATACATTTTATTGAGGTTCATTTTACAGTCAGAAAATTAGACTTTCAAATATTCCTGAGATATTTTTACAAATCCACCCCAAACACACTCTAATCACTGTGGTTTTAATTGATATGCAACAAGGTAGACTTTACTAATTAAAATCAAGACGCCATGCTTTTGCTACATGGACCTTTACATGGAAAAGTAGGTTTTACACATTTCCTTTATTGTTCGGCACAGCAATTGCATCCTTACAGGGTCGTAAGGTTGGTGGCTTACAGTCCCCCCCAAAAAAGAGAGTGAGTGAGAAAGAGAGCGAGTGCTGCCACCAGCCCTGAAGATAGACAGTGGGCTTTCGTCCCTCAGACACCCCCAGAATACTAATCAGGAAAGTCAGACCCTGGAGGTCAGGGAGCAAGTCAATCATTCTCGCGATCGTCTCAGTGTGGAGGATCAAATTAGCCTGAAAAATTCAGCTGCTGGGAGGAGAGGGCGAGCAGCTGTCAGGGGCAGTTGCGAGATGCACTAATGAACCAGATGAATAGTGCAAAAGCTTGAAAATAAAAACAGGACAGTTGACATTTTTCATCTGTCAAAGCAGGAGATGCATGAAAATATAGTATTCCTGTTTTAACTCCTTAGGGGACATTCAGCTTCTCTCTCTCTCTCTCTCTCTCTCTCTCTC